AGAGTCTACGACATGCGCGTGGTTCTGCCTGAGGAATGTGAGAAGGAGAGGGTGAAAGCGGAGTTTGAGAATGGGGTGTTGATCATTACTATCCCGAAAGTTAAGATGGAGCGCAATGTTGTCGAAGTTGAGGTTCAGGGAGCTTAGCAGCTGGCGTGAGTCTTACTCCTGTTTGGCTCTGCAGGGGTTGGTTGCTGTAGATTTTCTAATATAATTTAGATTTGGGGATCTGGATACAAGCATTTAATTCTCATTTATTTTTTCTCCCAAAAGAAATCATATATATATATATATATATATATATATGTAAAATACAAATTTATTTTTATTTACTTGCAAAGTATAATAATTCTAAAATACTATTAAACTTTGAAATAGCATTAAATAAACGAAAATGTGCTTGAATGCTCGAATGCGTAAGAATAGTTTGACTAGAAAAAAATTAAAAGAGGGAAAATCATAAGTTCAGATGCAAGAATCGGACTGCATAAAATAAGAAATAACAGTTTCACGCCCTATTTATAGAGCGAACAAGAAAAAGGAAGTGTCACACAATGATGAGTAACAAACTAAACATTTTTTTGCTTATTTATTCAATTCTCTTTTCATTTTCAAATAACATTATTACTGATCTAAAATAAAATACTTTATGAACGGCTCTTCCAAGACTTCAGACGAGACATACCCTTTTTGTATAAACTTTAAGAGAACCATCACCCCTCCTATCCTAAGCTATTCCATTCGATCAACCTTACAGTTGAATCTGGACAAATCCATCGATTCCCGAAGTGCCCCGGCTCGTGCATCACCTCGGCTAGGGCATCCCGCAAAACAACAACCTCCACTTGTAAGGCCGCCACGACCGAGCTCATGAACACCGGAGGAACTGAGACCTTCCGCACATGATCCGTGACCCGACCTCCGACTAATCTCGTCGACGAGCCAGCCTTCATCAATAATGACCCAATCCCTCTTGCCTGTTGCCCCTCTTGCCTGTTGCCCCGCCCCCGTGAGGGCAACCAATGCTCCATTCGCTTTTGTCTAGTATCAGCAGCGGGCAAAAGAGCAGATAGCAGGTATCCTCCTGAAATGACTGGCGGCAGGACTCCTGCGAACTCGATCTGTTGAGCGGCCACTATAGCAAAGGTCTCATCAATGACTTTCGACTGCCCACCATCTCGTTGACCCTTCGACTAGGCCAACTCATCTGCACATAAGGAATTACAAGGAGCTATTAAAAGATCGGCGACAACCAAAAAAGATTCTTTGCATAATCATGAATCTATCCATTGAGGAGATGGTCTCCAGACATCTTCACCCCTCTTTTGTTGCGAAGTGCCTTCGTCTTCCAGCAGCAGCGGTTGTGGGGAGATACTGATCTTCTCTCTCTAGTCTCTTTTCGCCCTCCTTGACGCCTTTGATGAGCAAAGTCTGTTGGCCCTTGGAGCTCGCACCTATGCTTGACTCGGGAATCACGATCTCTCGATGGGGGACCTTCGACTCCTGCCCCACAGAGTCCCCCGATGAGTCAACTTGATCATCCAGCACAAAATTTCTGACCTTGATCTTCTTTACAGAAGTCGAGCCTGTAACGCACTTTCGTCAGAATTAAGTGGTCGACATGGACTTTGCTCAAATCATCAGCCATGACTCAAATCGGCAGATTAGGGGAAAATTATGACAACAAATGCAATGTCAAGCCTTTGACTCTATTTATAGAAGCATACTAGGCATAGAATTGAAAGAGAGTTGATTATTAAATTGACTTTCTTGATTTTAGCGCCATTGAATACTAATCATTTTTTTGGTCATATTGTAGTTGTCACTTTCAATAAGCAAAAAAAAATCGAGGAATTAATATATATACACCATAATTATCAACACAAATCTCAAAGCTTCCGAATAGCCCATACAACAGTTGGACAACCAAGGTGTCCTACCGCCTTACTGCAAATCGCATGGTCGAGAATCTACCAACATGTCGCGACGAGAGTGACAGACCCAACTAACCGAAAAGCAAGCAAGAGTCATTGATTGCGGCAAATCGGTCAACCCGCCTTTACCACGACTAACATGATCGACATTTGACCGGGTGTCTTGACTGACCAACACTTATTGCAAAGAGCATAGTCGCCACTCAGCCGGTTGGGTTGCCTCAGTTAACCGAATTCTAGTAAGTTGACAAGCTAATTACCGTTATGTTAAAATTCAAATTGTAAATATATATATATATGACATGAAATCCATTCGATTAATAAGAGTATCCAATTCATTAAAAATGGTTCCCATTTCTGTTCCGCATTTTCGTGATTGTACAAAAGATTATCCTATAAATGTGAGGCAAAAATATAAATAAATGAACCTTTTTTCCCATCTTTCTCTATAGGAAACTTTAAACTTATTCTACTATCTCTCTCTCTCCTCTTTCGTCCCCTTGAGACGTATTCTCAAGGAATAAATTTAGATCTAACATCAATGCTCTCCTCAATCAAACATAAAGATATAAATAATCATGTTAGTCAGCAGAATGTACACACAAAGAGTAAGATGATTTAAAAACAAGTAGTTGAACCCTCCAAAATAAAAGTGTAATGAACTTGCCACATTTCGATCAATAGTCACTTATTTTAATTAAGAATGGAACTTTTTTATTAAACAATTAATAATAATAATGCCAACAACTTGAAGGAAAAATATAACAATGTGATTGAGCAAAGTCTGAGCCAAACTTTTAAAATCAGGTCAGACTACCTGCTACAAGTCAGCTTCTAACTATACTTGGTCGGATCAAGGACATTAACTTAGTCTTATGTATGTACCCAATTAGGTCCATCATGAGTCATTGATTTAAATTTTAACACTCATAAATTTCAAGCATTTTTATGGTGAATACAATCATCAAGCATGCTTTCCATCTTAATTTTATAAATATGGTCATAATTTAGATTCCAAAAGGCAACCTGGCTCAGCCCGCTACTCAATTTCCTTTTTTTGGCTTTTGATACCAGCTTATTTCACCGTAGTCCATAATCTCATAGAAAATATGAAGAAAATAGTGGCGATAAATGCCCGATCTGAGGAAAAATTATTCCATGCGGATCGGCGTCCGCACGCAGCTTGCGTGCGGACACCGATCTGGACCGTAAATCACATGATTTACGGTCTCGATGTGTTTCGGTGGGCCCCACCTAAAATTTTTTATTTTTATTTTTTAAAAACGGAAATAATCCTGACCGTAGATCACCGTGATCTACGGCCAGGATCGAACACCGCATGCAGAGATGCATGCGGTGTCCGCACGCAATAATCCCCCCGATCTGAGGCTAGGTGGTGGGCCGTTTCTTCCGTACCTTAGCATGTATGGAGATGTGGTCACGTGATCAGGAATTTTTTTTTTTGCAAGCTGCCAGCACTAGTTGCGTGTTAATCCTCATTAAATGCTATTAATTACACAGATCGTTGTCGCCCCTTCCAAAGGGGCAAAAGAATGCAGCTTCAGCGACAGGAACGCCTGCCATGAAATCTTCATTTACCGTTCCTGAGATGTGTAGCATAAATTCTTCAATAATTAAGAGTTTTAATGTTTAAAACAAATCTTATGAAAATCTAGAGTAAAGAAGGATAACAAATTTGAATATTTTCATGTTTCAGAATTTATTTATGAATTAATGTATGTTATAAAGTGATAATAATATCCTATCTAGATCTCCGATGGCGGCTCGTCATAAGCTTACTTAGAATGGGCAAATGGTCGAATGTAATCGCCATAAGTCCGCTTAGTATGAGCTGATTTTGTCACGAAAAAACTAAAATTTTGTGGGCTCAGCCCGGCTCGAGCCCGCTTTGACTCAATCAAATCCCCAAAGAGCCCGATCCGTGCCAAGCACAACCCGCCCATTGGCCTTATCTCATAAATTTATTTCGCGATTGCAAGCTTTTAAAGAGATTAATTTCATCATCCTCTCTTCTTTATGTAACCATAAATTTTGATTTTTATATTAATACCAACCACATCTTTTATATCATAAAAAATAATCAGTTTTTTATTTTTATTTTTTAATGAAATACAACTTTCATGCATGTATATAAAATGACAAATATGTAAATATATGAGTTTTTCTTAATTCCTTTTTATTTACATATTAGGATATTCCCATTTTAAAATCTTACGAATTTCGATGTATATATCTGATATTAAACGTATAAAAAAATTCATACAAATAAAATCAATTTAAAACTATTGTCGCACATCATTTCATGTTCAAAACGTACATATTGCAAATTTTTTAAATATTTTAAATAACAACATGATTTGATGGAAAGTATTAAACTTTTTATTATTTATTTTCTTATAAAAAATCATTACTTTTTAAAGCTCATAGCCGCTCACAGGTTGGCTCGTCCCATTCAGTGAGCGCTACTGATTATGAAATTATAAATAGAATCCACACTCAAGCTTCGCTCGAGCAGATCTTATAAATAGAATCCACATTTCGTATGTATATATTTGATATTAAACGTATAAAAAAAATCATACAAATAAAATCAATTTAAAACTATTGTCGCACATCATTTCATGTTCAAAACGTACATATTGCAAATTTTTTAAATATTTTAAATAACAACATGATTTGTGGAAAATATTAAACTTTTTATTATTTATTTTCTTATAAAAAATCATTACTTTTTAAAGCTCATAGCTGGGCTCACAGGCTGGCTCGTCCCATTCAATGGGCGCGACTGATTATGAAATTATAAATAGAATCCACACCTAAGCTCCGCTCGAGCAGACCTGAACTACTCAGTCCAAATAAGCCCGACCCATGATGACCCCAGCCCACCCAACAACTAGGTGCAGTCCTATCATAACTAAAACGTTAAAAACATTACACCAACCAAATTAATATTACTATCCTCTAATTTTCTATGACATTATACATATGCATAATGACATGAATCTTTTCAACACGACAGTAATAAAATATAAAATTCATTAGCACTAAATACTTCAATTTTCCATAGTATTTATTTGATGTTGTGTGTCTTAGATACCCAACATGCCAACAATAATATTTCATAAAGATCAAGCTAGGGAATCAGATTATGTAATACATACTATGGCTTGCAACGTTTCCAAACTCAATACAAATAAAATTAGATTCCGCAGATGCTGCCGTTACAGCGTAAGTTATTTATGGTGGAGGCAGCCATGTTACGGCTACCGGGCTCCGGACTGAATGTATTCCGTCGTGCCACGTCAGTGCCCCAAACTCCGGCGATGACTGCGCGGCTTTCGTTCTGAAGCTCACCGTGTAGGAAAGCTTCTGGTTTTGGGCACTGAAGCGGAGTACAGTCGGCTGGACCACTACCTCTGCTCCCTTTGGCGGCGAAACCTTTACATGGTAGGTCGAATTCGGACGGCCAACGTTAGTCACGGTTCTGTATAGTTTCAACAATGTCGAAGCGTTGGAATCCGGAAGAACGGCGGAGATGGCCGGGTAGTTGAGATCTCCGGCGTTGGCTAACAAGTGCTTGCACGATCGGTTTGATGTCTTGGTAAAAACCTTTAGTTGAATAGGAGTCAGCTTCTGAGTACAGAGAAATTCAAAGTAGTCGTTTGGGGTGATGTCATAGACGAGCCCCGGGTCTAAAGCTTTCAGCGGATGGATATGCCCTGCGCCGTAGTCGTAGGGAGTCGACGGCGTTCCAGTGGCGGCGTCCTTGAGGGGCTGCAAGGTGTTGTCGTGAACGTAGGCGGTGGTCATCAGAGCTGATTTGATGGCCGCTGGGCTCCAGTTCGGATGGCTCGCTTTTATCAGCGCCGCGATTCCTCCCACGTGAGGGCAGGACATGGAGGTTCCTGAAAGGATATTGAAGTCGACGCGACGGAGGTCGACGGGGAGGCTGGAGGGGCTGGCATCACCGCTCCAGGCAGCGAGGATGTTCACTCCCGGAGCCACCATGTCGGGTTTGAGAATCTCAAGCGTGAGAAAATTTGGGCCTCTTGACGAGAATGCAGCGACGACGGGAGATGGCCGGATTCCGAGTTTAGTGCCTTCGAAAGTAAGCGTTGCGGTTGCTTGGGGAATGGTTTTGATGTAACGCTTAATCGACTTCCCGGCTGTTTCTCCAACGGCTACTGCGGGGAGGAGGTGGCTGTCGGCGACGAGTTCTTCTCCATTTGCAGCGGTGTTTGCTAAAATCATTCCAATGCCGCCGGCTTGTTTTACGACATGTCCTTTCTCCACCCGCGGGCTGATGCCTCTGTCGCAGATCACGATCTTGCCGACGACAATGCGGGGGTCGAGGGTGCCATCAAGACATAGGGATCTCGGGTCCGGGTTGGTGAGATTGGCGCCCATGTAAACCAGGGGGTACTGCCTCTGCTGCGCGAGATTACGGATGCCTTTGTAGAGGGAGACGCCGGTCAAATTGATACCGTTCCCCAGCCGAACCGTCGCCGGGAAATCTCGGTCCATTGTGCTTGCCCCGACAGTGGCTATCCATGGCGAGATGTTGGTGAGACTGATCGGATCCGGTCCCCCGTTTCCGGCCGAGCAAGCGACAAACACTCCCATCTCCATTGCGCCAAATGTGGCAACGGAGAGACTGTCACGGTAGTAGGAAGATATTCCACCGCCGAGGGAGATGGAGAGCACGTCCACCCCGTCGGCGACAGCCTGGTCGACGGCCGCCAAAATGTCGGAGCTGAAGCAACCGCCGCTCCAGCAAACTTTATAAGCGGCAATGCGGGCGCCGGGCGCCATTCCGCGTGCGGTGCCGCTGGCGTAGCCTAGGAGGTTAGCGCCGGCAACAGGAGCTCCGCCGACGGTGGCGGCAGTGTGGGTTCCGTGCCCGTCTTGATCCCTGGGTGATTTGTACTCCGCTTTCTCGTCAATGGCCCCGGTTGCTGCTTCGTAGCCGCGGAAGAAAATCCGCGCGCCGACAATCTTTCGGTTGCAATTGCTGGTTTTGAAGCCGCGACCGGTCTCGCAAGCGCCTTTCCATCGGGCTGGAACAGGTGCCATGTTCCTATCATTAAAGCTCGGGCTTTCCGGCCAGATTCCGGTGTCCAGCACCCCCACAATGACGTCGTGATCAGCGACCGACACGGGAAGGTCACTGTTGGGGGTTTCGGATTCGATGCCGAGAAACTCTGGGCTTCGGGTGGTATGCAAATAGTATGTTGTTTCAGGGAGCACATTGACGACGCCTGAGTAGGCCTCGAGATGCTCTGCCTCAGCTTCGCTGAGCGTGACGGCGAAGCCATGAAAGGCGTGTTCGTAGCTGTAAATGATCCGCTGGGTTGCTTCATGGACTGAAGAGGAGACGGATGACTTGACGAGGGATGTGTACCAGTTGAGGTGGTGAGAGAAGGATGCAGGCATCTCTGATTTAGCCATGTGGATGATATAGGTCTTGGTGGGGCGATTGTGCGCTGTGGCATTGTTGAGGGATGAGATAAGATGGAGAACAGTGAGGAGGAGTGGGAGACATCTTGCTGAGCTTCCCGTCATGGAGGACAGACGAGGGAAGCGAAGAGTAGAGATGAACAGGGCTAAACTGATTTTCACTTTATGTAGAAACTGAAGAGAGGGGATGGGGGTGATCATCACTGTTGCAATGAGTGCTGAGGTGAGCAAATAAAGTTGGTAGGTATTGGTTGATGAGTAATTATGTGCATATTGAAGGCCACCGCTACTCGCAGAGTTTAATAATAATTTTTTTTTTCGTTTATATCATCCAAATTTTTTATATCATATAAAAAAAATTAAAATTGTAAAAAAAATTAAAATTATTTCTTTCTTTTTAATAGTAAATTTTATTAAAATAAGTTTGAAATTATATATATATATTGTAAAAACTTAAGAGTTGAGAGTGAGGATTGATTTAAATTGCATGAGCTTAAACAAATATGGAGAATTAAATATATAATAAATTACATTTATAGATTTTTACATGGAATGCTCCAAATACCATGAAGTAGCCTAGGTGCCTATATTATATTATGCATAGGTCTTCACATGTCAGAACGGATTATATTAAAGCATACAGCTGTTATAGAAACCATATTCGTGACTTAGTGTGCTCATATTCAAGCACTACAAATAAGGGTGGAAAGATGTTTTAATTTATACCAGTTGTTGAGTTGTATATATAAAGCAAAATGATCAACTAAGAAGTGGAAAATAGAATGAGAAAATTCACACTAAAAAAAACAATACAGCGGAACACACATATTTACATGGTTCGACAAATTGCATATGTCCACGGAGTTGCAGAGGATTTTACTACTTGAGGAATTTACATCAGTCGATCGTCTCGACTTACAAGAGGAATCTCTTACTTCGTTGTTCTCTCTTATTCTTTCTCTTTTCTTCTTCCTTCACTGCAAGTAACTACACATTGCACTTTTTTTCCTCTGTCCCAAGGAAGTCCGAAGTGACTTAGAAAAAACCAAAGGAAAGCCGCTGTGATGCCTTTTATTGCAAACAGGAAGGGAGACGTCGCAACTATTCACGAACAAGAGCGAGAGCTTGCTGACAGAGAGTGATACGCGACTCGTCGCGAAGTTGAGGGAGACGCGACAACCGGGCCAAGTGAGGGTTTCTCTTCGCAAAACAAGGGGTGAGGGCGGTTGCGGTTCGCAGGTTTAATCGGGCTTCAGCTAACAATCTCCCACTTGGAGACCAATACACAAGCTACAACGTCTTCTTCCTAGAACTGATATCCTCCATTGACGTCGTCGACCTTTACTTCAAACATGTATCATCTACTTCTGTAACTCAAATCCTTTGTCTTCACTCCAGAAGACCAACTGAAGCTGTGCATAACTTCAGTTTCTCAAGAGTAAAACCCTCAGTCAACATATCAGCAAGGTCAATATAGTTTTGCGCTTCTAAGTTATTTCTTGAATTACTCTTGTCTCTGCTTACAACTCCCACTGCATGGGCAATATCCTACCTCATCTGAAAACATTTTTCAACAAGTCTAGTCTTGTTCTTATTACTTTCATCATGCTCAGTCTTCACACTTGTGTACTGTCTTCTTCCTTGGTGGAAGTTCTGTCAGCTCGCACTTGCTCGAACTTTCATCTTGCAATATTTCTTCATAGGCCTATGGTTCTCCATCATCTGTCTGTGGAACAATATGAATGAGTGTCTCGTACCTGCTCTCCTATTCACGTCCATCATCAACAGAATTATGAACTGTCAATAATAGTGCATCTTGTACTTCCTTAGATACCACATTTATGCGACCATTCTTCATCTTATTGGGATTTCTGCAGTTCCTCTTTATGTGGTCAGCCATGCCACAATTTCAGCATGTTGCATGTTGACCAGACTTTGATTTTAATCTCCCTCTATTTGAGTTCATATCATGTAATCTCCCTCTGAAATCAACATTAAGTGTCGAACTCGTACCTGAGATCCCGCTAGAATCTTTCCTGCGCATCTCCTCAGCCAAAATCAAATCACATATATCATCATATTTCAGTTTAGATTTACCTGCATAACTGTTAACTGTCATCCTCACGAGTTATCAGCTATTTGGCAATAATACCAACAATATCAGTGTTGTATCTCATCATCACAATCAATTTCAACAGACGACAATTGATTTGTGATAGTATTAAAATTATTCAGGTTTTGAGCAACAGAAACACTTTCCACCATCTTCAAGTTGAATAACTTCTTTATCAAGTACACCTTGTTATTCGCCGATGGATTTTCAACATACATGATAAGGCTGTCATGAGATCTGCAGTCGTCTTTTCCTTGACGACGTTGTGTGCAACAGACCTTGATAGGGTCAATTGAATAACCCCCAGACTTGCCGATCCAACAAATTCCATTAAGTCTCATCCATCCTTTCAGGTCTTTTCCCTAATAACGGAATATGGAGTTTCTTCCCATAGAGGTAGTCTTCTATCTGCATCATCTAATAACCAAAATATGTATGTGTCATCAAATTTCTCGATCAATTTCTCGATCCCTGAAACCTTCACTTCATCTGCAGCCATCGTCCTCCTCGGATCTGAAGCTTGGCTCTAATACCAGTTGTTGTGTGATATATACCAGTTGTTGCGGTATATATATAAAACAGAACGATTGACAAAGAAGCAAAAAATAGAACGAGAAAATTCACACAAGAAAAGAACACCACAACATAACACACAGATTTACATGGTTCGACAAATTGGCTACATCCACGGAATTGCAAAGGGTTTTACTACTTGAGTTTTACATCAGTCGATCGTCTCGACTTGCAAGAGGAATCTCTCACTTCGGTGCTCTCTCTTCTTCTCTCTCTTTTCTTCTTCCTTCACTACAAGTAACTACACCTTGCACTTCTCTTCATCTGTTCCAAGGAAGTCCAAAGAAGAACACGAAAATGTGACTTAGAAAAAACCAAAGGAGAGTCGTTGTGATATCTTTCTTCGCGAACAGGAAGGGAGACGTCGCAACTATTTTTGAACGGGAGCAGGAGCTAGCGCAATAAAGCGGGAGACGCGACTCTTTGAGAAGCTGAGGGAGGCGCGACGATCAGGCGAAGCAAGGGTTTTGCTTTACGAAAGAAGGGGCGAGGGCGGTATCAGTTCACGGGTTTAATCGGGCTCCAACTAAAAAAAGAGACTGCCATTTCTGTTAATTTCTAGGACAACTAGCAAATTCACTCTATGTTTTCCTAGAAGGAATGTCCCACCAATTTAAGAGTAGATCGATAAAATTTATAACCGGAATTACTTGGACCAAATGCCCAGAAGATACCATGAAAATGCGTACTATTTCTTGCTTCGATTTTGTATACAATTCAAGAATCAATTTGCATATAGCTATCATCAAGCAAAATATGGATCAATAAGAGTCCCCATAACTATAAAAAATTGAGTTGATAGCTTTTTTATGTGCATCCCAAGCTTTCATGTATGTCATATGGATATTAAATTTTGACTTCATTCTAACAACAATTATTTTAGGCTTTAGGTCGAGTTTTTGTGGTCGAATAGCATCTACATAACTAGATATAAACTTTGAAGTGCAATTTTGTTGTTCAGTTGACATAACTGGATGAGTGCATATTTGTGATACCCCAAATTACAGATATTTTCAATGCACCCCTAAGCATTGTCATTTAGGTACAAATGACATAGATGAGTCTCATGATTATGTTGTACACACTAGATAGTAAGTCTCTTTTCAGTTGAAGTAGTTTTTATATACTTTATGTTATTCATTATTGATCATCCATGCAAAGCAAATTGTAGTTGGTCCTTAGTTAAAAATATCATTCTCTCTAATAATACATATGAAATGACATCATCTTGACATAAAGGTATTTGATTTATAAGAACATCATTGTCATCAATTGCATCACATTTTTAGTTGTACAAATTCACTCAACAAGTTTATTGTTCTCTACCATTGAAGCGAGAATCTCTTTATTTAGCTTCACATATTGACGTAATAAATCATGTGCTGACAATATGATATTCAAATTAACATTTCGTCCACTATAACCCACATTTGCCCATGTTTCTCTTGAATTTTTACTAGTGCCACTATCCATGGTTTCATCTGTGCTTACATTAACATCAAAGTGCTCACTTAGTGATGTTTGTTGCATAGAAGACTCAACATTTCTACTAACATAAGGGTGAAATAATAGTGTGAGAGATCAAATGATCAACGCACACTATAGTCAATCACTGGCTTGTAAGATATATTATAGCACCCAATATCATATGCATGGAATGAAATTGGAGTTGGCATATATATTAGAATTTATAATATTTAACTTATTTTAGTATAAATTTGCAGTAGTTGCATAAATAAAAATATTTACAATTTTTTTATTTATAAATTTTTGTCATATATTTGATAAGGGCAACATGAATGTGTGAATGACCAGCAATGTGTGAAGAACCAATAATAGCATAAGCCTTAGTAAGACCTCAACTCTACATAAATAACTATTGTGTGTTTTGCCGCTGCTAACAACATAAATTCACATGCTTCATCACCGTCAACTTGAGTTGCAATAAATCGACCACTCTCTGAGAGTCAACAAACTATAGTTACAATGCATTGAACTATCATGATGCAATAAACATAGTATTTTTCTTTTCAGTTGATATAGTGTCATCAAACGAGATATTGGATTTGATGGTTACATCCACCGACATAAACCATAGTAAGATCATCTCTAACTTGTAGCTCCCCATCAAAATATAATAACAAACATGACATATATTTACTCATGTTATAAAATGAAGCATAGTTCCGTAGCTGACTATAACAAATTAAGAAAGTATGTATGTCACAATAACAAATGTGAACTATAAATTGTTAACTAACCTGATCTATGCAAGAAAATAAGTTGAGTCATAAATATAAGAACTTCCAGTTGATGAGGGGTATAACCTCTTTACATCTTTTTGACAAAACTCTTTATAGTTTCAAATACATAATAATTTATACACATATATGCAAAGTTATTCTAATTTGTAATATCATATTTATACAGAAAATGTGCCTAGGAAATTCATATATTAAATTTATTAAAATAAACTCTTATATCTAATTTGCAATTAAGTTTGTGTGTGGCAACGACATATGTTAAATATAAATTATTTACTTGATATATGTAACAGAATTAGATGAATTCTTAGCTATAAGAACTTTCAGGTGAGGAGGGGGTACGAAGGCCTTTTATAACCCAAATTATCCTCATAGAATTTAGGTCTTTTCTACAAAGTTCTTTATAGAACTTCAAATGCACTATATTTCATACACATATATGCTAGATTATTCTAATTTGTATTATCCTATTTATAAATAAGATGTATCTGAATAATTCATTCATTAAAATAAAGTAAAGGCATTTACATCAAATGTATTTTAAATAAAATCAAAGCATGATAGAGCATTGCTAATCAAGAAGAATAAGATAAAGATCCTGACAATACATGAATAAAGATACCGACAATCATAAAATATTATCGAGCAAACTTTTATTGGATTTTTGGTAGTACATGGAGAATTAATGAGGAAAGCGTCCAAAAGCAAATCGATAGATTTTAAGTAAAGAAAACATGAGAGCAAAGCAAAGAAAAATTTATTAAGAATCATTTAATACATGAGATAAAAAAATTATAAGTTCTATACTTACACTAGAACCGTCGAGGTAATATTTCAATCTCCTTCAAACTAGTTATCCTGCGCCGTCGGATTTCCAGATTATATACAGATCAGTGCTCTCTTGAAATTATTAAACTTATTTATTTAGATCACAATTATTAAATTCCAAAAAATATATATAAAAAATACTCTATAATACATAAATTATAAATTAATTCACATTTTTATTCAACTTAATTATAATTTTTAAAAAAAATTTACATAATTTCTAAAATACGGGCATAATTGGGAGAGAAGTGAGTGGGTGAAAGAAGATTGTTCTTGATAATGAGAAGATTGTTCTTTATTAAAATATCGGCCGAAAATGTCAAAAACAAAATTATATTAGAAAATTAATTTTAGAGAGAAAATTGAGATTAATTAAAAAAAATATTAAGAGAGAAGTGAGTGGGTGAAAGAGAAGGGAGGGAATGAGAGAGGTGTGAGTGGAAGGAGAGGAATGAGAGAGGTGTGAGGGGAAGGAGAGGAATGAGAGTGGTGTGAAGGAGGTGAAAGGAGATGAGGTCAATATATAGGGAAATATATGAGAATAAAATGCTTGAAATGCAGGCGTAAAACATGAAATGGAAAAAATTTCAGCATGGCAACGTGCATACAAAGTGCTATGCAATATGTTTGAAATTAATGATTTGTCACCTCATATTAGGCAGATTGTGGCAGTTAGATATGAGTGCTATTTCTTTTGAATGAGAAGGCAGAAACCTCAAATTTATTCCAGTAGATCCATCAGATTCTACTAACTATGCAAATAACAAAATAGTTTTGTGTTATTAAAGGTGCAATAATTACGTGATACTTGTAAAGAATTTATTGATTTGTATACTGTGGTAATTTCCGAAAGGAATCAGGAGCTGAACCTTGCTAAATTGCCCTTGGAAGTTCAACAATTTCTTCATCAATTTCATGATGTTGGCCCAGCTTATTTACCACCAATGTGGTCTGTCCAAAACCAAATTAATTTCTCTCTAAGTGCTCCTCTAGCCAATCTATCGTACAACGGACAGCAAAAATGAGCATCATATTCTACAAGGAATTGTGGATGAGCTGCAGGAAAAATAATTGATTCAATATAGCTTGAGCCCATGTGTTGTCACAAAACTTCTTGTGCCTTATGTGCGTGATCCAGTCTTAGCCTGAGGGGCGCAGCAGGTATTCAGACGTCACAAAACTCCCCATTCCAATCACAACCAGCCACATGTACGGTCCGGTCTCACTGAAGACAGAAACTCAAATAATTTAATGCATGACGGAGCCAAATCGTACACATGACCCATTGTGATTGGAGTCCTGATCCAAAATGGCATCATAACTCCTGATGTAATATTTTTTCCTGACGCGGAAAGCGGCGCCAAACACACCAAAGCCATAAAACAAGCATTGGGCCTCTCCCTTTACCACACCTCTAGGAAGCTGAAATCACTGGTTTTTTAGCTTGCCCCATATATACCCAATATTCTGCTAAGCTTTGTTCAAAGGCAAAAAAAAGAAAAAAGAGGGAAAAAAAAAATCTTTCACACATCAAAAATCTGTACAATTGATTTTACAGAACAAAAGACCGGAGCAGCAAAATTACCAGTAATCGGAACAAGTACACAGACCATCCTTGAACCGGTGGAAACGATTCCGATCTCTGACAATGATCTCTCTACTAAAGATCTGTGAAATCAGCTTCATGGCAGAGTGGCAGTCGCAGCATATGCGGAGATTCTTAAAAATACGGAGTGGCATTCCAGGTTTGGAACTAATAAGACCAAATGCAACGGCAAGTCTCTCACTGTGAGCCAACAAAGCCTGCTCTCGCTCTTCTCTTTCTTCCTCGCCCTCCAAGCAGTTATCCATGGAACGCGGCACTTGCGAAGCTACATTTGGATAGTACCCCGCAAATCGCAAGCGCTGCGCAATCTCATCCAATTTAGCGTACAGCTCCAGAGTTCGAGGGTGCGATTTATCTCCAGCACAGAATCGGTGCACAAAACCGTTGATTTCAATATAGCTCAAGCCAGGTCCTTTCTTTTGTTCGCTCTTCTTGATCTGCCTACGTAGCTCTTCGGCATCCCGATGCCGCCCTTGGGATGAGCACATATTGTAGAGGAGAACATGATAGTCTGTGTTGTTTGGGTTCATCTCCATGAGCTCCCGCGAGAGCTTTTTTCCTAATTTGAGCTTCCCATGGAGACTGCAAGATGCGAGGAGAGAACCCAGAACAACTTCGTTGGGGCGCACTGGCATTTCTCGAATCAAGGTTTCTGCTTCATTTAAATGCCCCGCCCGGCCCAAGAGATCAACCATGCAAGCGTAGTGTTCAACCTTAGGCGTTAAGCCGTAAACTTGCTTCATCTCAAGGAAAAGCTCGCGGCCTCGCTGTACTAGCCCTGCGCGGCTGAGAGCACTGAGCAGACTTACAAATGTGATATCATCTGGCGGAAGACCTTCCTCCTTCACCATTATTGAGAAAAGTTTCAGCGCTTCAGCACACATTCCATGCATTGACAGCCCGCTTAACATTGCATTCCAAGTGATCACATTTGTTGCCGGCATCACCTCGAACAGCGCAATGGCGGCCTCGATCCGCCCGCACTTCGCGTACATATCGATAAGAGCGGTGTTGACGATGAGAAGATGGTTGTCGTCGAAATGACCTGATTTCAGAGCGGTGGAATGAAGCCAACGGCCGACGATGAGATCACCAGCTTGGGAGCATGCAGAAATCAGGGAACATAGGGTGATGTGATTAATTCTTCTGATGATGGAGGCGTTTGGGAATATCATGTCGGCCAGTAGGGAGAAAGCTTCTCTGGGTAATCCCGCTTCCACACAGGAAGCAGCCATTACTGTCCACGAAACGTCGTTCCTATCAGGCATTAGATCGAACACTTTGCGACCGCTACTGATTCCTTCACAACGAAGCGAACCAACAAGGATGACAGTCCAAGAAACAACATTTGGACAAGGTGTTTCGTTAAATAGTCGCCGGGCTTCCAGCATTCGACCGCATTTGGCGTACATGTTCATGGCGGCGTTGCAAGCCGATAGAGTGAACGGGAGCCCTAGTTTGATAAGAAAAATGTGAGCGGAGGCGCCGGCAATGGGGTAAGAGAGGCAAGCGGCAACGGAGAAGACAGAGAGGAGGGTGACCTCGTCGGGGTCCAAGCCTTCACGGCACATGGCGCGGAAGAGAAGAAGAGCACGGGCGGGGAACGCATTGCGGACATAGCAGGAGATAAGAGCGGTCCAGTCGACGGAAGAAAGAGTTGGCCTTGGGATATCTTGGAAGGCTCGTAGGGCTGAAGAAGATGAACCGAGGGCTGCGTACATGTGGAATAGGGCGTTGGAGATGTTCGGGTAAGTGGGCGAGAGAAGGATTCCTGCCTTGAGGAGGGCGGCGTGTAGACTTCGCCCCAGGGCTGGAGGGACATGGCCTAAGGCGCATGATCGTAGGAGAGAACGGTGGTGAAGATGAGAGACCTCGGACGGCGATGATGGTGTTCTAAGGGTGTTGAGAGGCACGTTTCTGGCCATCTAAAGGCCTCACCTTTATGAAGAAACTCTTCCGAATCCAAGTCTTTCATTTTTGTGAGATTATACATACTCAGGTAAATTAATAGAATTAATGGATTTTATGATTCATAATAATGTAATATCTTATATATTCAATAAATTAAATGGGTTTGATAAAAGATTAAAGAGACTGATAGTTATAATTTTAAACTTTGATATTTAGGTACAAGTCATACTAGAAATTATGTAGATGTATTATAATAAGTGTTTGAAATACAACTTTATAAAAATTAATATAACTAGAGATAGAATTACAACCTTAAAACTTATTTTTTATACTAAGATTCTTCTTATTATAAGGTTTAAGCTCCTCAAATGCGATTTAAAAATTTGTTCAAAAGAAAAATTTTTGAATGAATTCAAAGAATTAATACAAAGGATATCTCTTGAAGAAAAAAATTTTATTCGAGGAGATTTAAATGTATTTTTGGCAGTGTTACAAGATTTTAGAAATATTTATGGTGGCTATAATTTTGGAGTGATTAATAAATAAGGTAAAATCATATTAAATTTTACTTTAGTTTATGATTTTTTTTATAGAAAATACTTATTTAATAAAAGAGATGAGCATATTATTATAACAAATCGACGATGAAACCAGCAGCATAGATAAACTCTGGACACTTTACATGGATGGAACCTCTGGAACCTTAAGAAAAAGAGTATGTATGGTTTTATGTGTACTTATATCTCATTATTTGATTTTACCTATTTTGATGTCATTAATAATCAAGCCGAGTACGAAACACTAATTGTTGAATTGTTCCTTTCAGTAGAAATCAAATTGAAATATCTTCTTGTTAAATCATATTCGTAATTGGTAGTTAACCAAATAAATGGGGTATTCGAGGTACGAGACAAAATCCTACCAAAATATTTATTAAACGAGGAAAGTTTGAATATTTTTGAATCAAGCACGCTTTGAGAGAAGAAAACCAGCTAGCTTGCCTTCTCTCTAAGGGTGAATATTAGGTGTCCAAGCGGCATATGATTCTAGAGCAACCTGAACTCGAAATATTAAGCATCGAATCGGAGTCTTTTGCAAGTTGGATTGACCCTATAAATGCATATTTGACCGTAGAGCAAATTTCATCAAGAATAACAAATCCTCAAAAATGCATATCAAAAGCGGCCCAATATTTCATTATCAATAATGAACTATTAAAAAAGCCAATAAGTAATATTTCATTGATGTGCGTTAAGGAGAATGAAATGACAATAATCCTCTAAAAAATTATGCAGGAGAATGTGGAAGTCATTCAAGAGGTAAAAACTTTAGCCAACCGTATCTTGCGGCATAGATATTATTGGCCAAACTTAAGAAAAGACACGGAGAAGTTCGCACAAGGATGCGAACAATTCCAAATATTTGATCCCATGTGATTTATAACATTTTCATAAGCTTCAATCAATCACAAATCCCTAGTCTTTCATGATTTGGCGGATGGAACTCCTCAGCCCCTTTCCTCCCAGAAAAGGACAACAAAAGTTCATTCTTGTAAGGATTAAGTACTCCTATAAATGAACTGAAGCTAAGACACTAACAAAAATCACTGTTGAAATAGTATGCAACTTTATATGAACCGATATTGCATGTCGATTTGCCTATAACAAAATGAAGAACTTTGCGCAAGAGATATAGCTCAAGTATATTTCTGTTCACCATCCAAAAAAATAGCTAGTAGAAGCTGCCAAAAAATTGATCCTCAGCTTACCGAAGAAAAAAATATAAAAGGGCAAAAATGAAAGTGAGCTAAAATATTACCCTTCTTATTATGGGCGTTACGAACTACACCCTTCACTTTTACCGGACACACTCCTTTCATCTTGTCACATGCAATTGAAGCAGTAATTCCAATATAGTATGACATAAATACTCAGTGGGTCTTAATTGTCTTTAGCTTCGGGGAGCAAGAGTTGAGCGAATGAAGAGAACTTCATCACGGAAGTCTGTGCAAACACTAGATCTCTTGAAAGAGCAACGCGATCAACCTGCATTATGACAAGCGGAAGTCAAGAGAAGAACCTCAAAATAATACTACTCGTGAGTGAAGGAATGTCAATTCAAAGCAAACGATCTTGTCTTCAAAAAAAGTTGACGCCACAACTCGCTATCAAGTTGTTGGCAAACTCGATTCTTCATGGATGAAACCATACATAATCAAAGAGCAAGTTAGCCTAAGTGTGTTTAAGTTAATTACGTATTTCAGTAAAGAAGTCCGTAGAACGTGGCGCGGGGATGATCTCAAATTTTTTTATCCCAAAAACATGGCGAGGTGACCACATTCATTTAAATAACAATTATTGAGCATAAGAAAAAAAGGAAAAGCTAAGTACTCCAATGACTCGCCTTTACTGATTTAAGATTGAAGACATTTGACAACAATATAAGTTCTAAGTAAGTTGTTATGACATAAAAAATAAATCTTTTTTGCTAAGGGATAACTATCTTCTCAAAAATGTTAGAGACCCATAAACTACGAGAAAAACCTTATAAATGTAGCTCCCGAGCCACCAAGAAAGTAGAATGAGAGTAAAAATCTCTCAAGCGGAAGACCGAGTTATACCTCAAGCATCATTATTTTCTTTTTATAAGAAGTAACTTAAGACAAAATTAATTTTTCAATTAAAAATCCTTAAAATATACATCGATTGTTCACAAGAGTAATATCCAACAACAAGATACTCATCTTTTTCTTTGTTCATATCCTACGGAGCAAAAGTGAGCATTAGTTAACGAAATAATGAGTTTCTACATACTCATCATACTAAACTAACTTCAAAAACTTGCCCAAAGTTCATTAGGCGCACTTTGTTATTCGTCGATGACTTTTCATACATATTTTGCTAAAACCGCCATGAGATCTGCATTAGTTTTTTCCTTGATGACGTTGTGGGCAACCGATCTTGATAGAGTTAATCGAATAACCCCCAGAACCTGTCGATCTAATAGATTCCATTCCACATTGTCCATCTTTTCCGGTTGTTTTCCCAGTAACAGAAGATGAAGTTTCTTCTTATAGAGATAATCCTCTATCTGCATCCTCCAGTAAGTAAAATTTGTGTCATTGAACTTCTCGATCCCCGAAACCTTTACTTTATCTCCAGCCACGGTTCTTCCTCAGATCCGAACCGGGTATTTGATACCAGTTGTTGTGAAAAACAATGATAATTAAGCGAAAAATGGAACGAGAAAAATTGCACGCAGAAAAAACATCAGAACGACACACAGATTTACATGATTCAGCAAATTTGCCTACGTCCACGGAGCTGTAGAAGATTTTATTTTTTCGAGGAATTACATCGTCGAGCACCTCGACGTTTACAAGAAAATCTCTATTTTCTTCTCTCTCTCTCTCTCTCTCTCTCTCTCTCTCTCTCTCTCTCTCTCTCTCTCTCTCTCTCTCTTCCTCTCTTTCTTCCTCTCTAAGTGAACTGGGTTTGGCTTTACTTGCCTAGTTTATGGCAAGCCATAAGAGGTTATTTATAGAAACCAAGAGAGCGGTAGGTGGGAGGTAGGTGAGCGGTAGGTGGGATGTGGTAGGTGGGCGGTAGGTGGGCTGGTAGGTGTGATAGGAGGAATTCTTAATTAGGAAGTTAATTAAATTGCGGTGGACCGGGTCTCCACATTGCCCAATAACGACAAAGCTAAGAGCATTGAACACTCCCAATATAAACAATAGGAGCTGTGAGGGTGTCGACGAAGCATAAAGTTCATGTTATAGTTCTTACTTGATAGAGGTAGGGGTGTAAACGAACCGAACACGAACGAACAAAGCTTGTGTTCGTGTTCGGTTCGTTTAAAATTTAGTTTGTTTGAAATAAGCTCGTGTTTGTTTC